GGCGTTAGGAAAACTAGATTTCCATGTGCAGAGGGACATTGGATCCTTATCTCACACTGTATACAAAAATCAACTCAATGGATTAAAAAGACTTAAATGTAAGACTGGAAACTCTAAAACTACTAGAAGAAAACGGGAAAAGCTGTACAACATTGGTCTGGGCAATTATTTTTTGGATTTGAACTCAAAAGCACAGGTTAAAAAAAAACCAAAAATAAGTTGAGCGTGGTGGCGTGTACCTATAGTCCTAGCTACTTGGGAGGCTGAGGCAAGAGGATTGATTGCTTGAGCCCAGGAGTTTGAGCTATGATTATGCCACTGCTCTCCAGCCTAGGTGACAGAGAAAGACCCTGTTAAAAAAAAAAAAAAAAAAGCAAATCCTAGCACTCTGGGAGGCTGAGGCGGGTGGATCGTTTGAGCTCAGGAGTTTGAAACCAGCCTGAGCAAGAGCGAGACCCCGTCTCTACTAAAAATAGAAAGAAATTAATCGGACAACTAAAAATATATAGAAAAAAAATTAGCCGGGCATGGTGGCGCATGCCTGTAGTCCCAGCTACTTGGGAGGCTGAGGCAGAAGGATCGCTTGAGCCCAGGAGTTTGAGGTTGCTGTGAGCTAGGCTGATGCCACGGCACTCACTCTAGCCCAGGCAACACAGTGAGACTCTGTCTCAAAAAAAAAAAAAAAAAGCAAAAATAGACAAATGGGATTACTAAAAACTTCTGTACAGCAAAGGAAACAGTATACAGAGACAGCCTATGGTTTGGGAGAAAATATGGACAAACCATATATTCTGTAAGGGGTTAAGATCCAATACTGTAAGGAGCTCAAACAACTCAATAGCAAGAAAACAAAAACCCAGTCGAAAATGGGCGAGGGACCTGAATAGACATTTCTCAAAAGAAGACATACAAATGGCTAACACATATATGAAAAAATACTCATCATTGCTAATTATTAGAGAAATACAAATTAAACCACCATGAGATACCGTCTCATACCTGTCAGAAGGGCTTTTATCAAAAAGATGAAAGGTAACTAGTGTTGGTGAGGATGTGGGGAAAAGGGAACTGTTGCATGCTGCTGGTGGGAATATAAATTAGTACAGCCATTATGGAAAACAGTATGGAGGTTCCTCAAAAAATTAAAAATAAAATTACCATACGATTCAGCAATCCCACTTCTGGATATTTACCTAAAAGATTTGTAATCCATTTGTCAAAGAGATGTCTGTACCCTCATGTTCACTGAAGCACTATTCACAGTAGCCAAGTTATGACATCAACTTAAGTGTCCATCAGCAGATGAATGGATAAAGAAAATGTGGAATAGATACACAATGGAATACTATTCAGCCTTTAAAAAGAAGGAAATTCTGTCATTTGCAACAATATGGATGGAATTGGAGAGCATTATGCTAAGTGAAATGAGTCAGGCACAGAAAGAGAAATATTGCATGTTCTCACTTACATATGGAACCTGAAATAATAGAACTCAGAAGCAGAGAGTAGAATGGTGGTTACAAAGTCTGGAGTGGGTAATGGGAAGATGATGATCAAACAGTACAAAATCTCAAACAGGTGGAATATAGGGTTTTTTAGTTCTCTCGCACAGGGTGGTAAATATAGTCAGTAGAGTACTGTACATTTTTAAGTTGCTAAGACAATAAATTTCAAATGTTCTCATCGTACAAAATGTTAAATATTTGACACGAGGGGTGTATTAACTAGCTTGATTTCATTATTCCACATTGTATTCATAAATTACAACATTGCGTTATATCCCATAAATTTATACAATTATAAATTGTCAATTTATGATTTCCAAAAAGTTACCTAAACCATTTTTGTCTGAAATGGTTTTAAATGGAGTATAACATACCCAATGTTTTTTGTTTTTAATGAAACTCAAAAAAGAAAAGTACCTCCCATTATTAAAAAAAAAAAAACCTTGTGATCTCCAACTTAGCCTATATATCAGTGAAAAGTTCTTAAGTGTACCTTTTGAAACCATAAATTAGTTTAAACTGAAACTATGAGGCTTAAAAAGACCTCAGAAAATTATTTGGAATGTGGATAACTTATTCCTGTTCGTTTTATGTTGTCTAATGACTATGTGAGGTTGTTTGGACTCAGAAGCTTTTCTTTGAAAATATATTTATTGGGGAAAATTATTCGTGGGGGACTTTTGTGTGTTAAATTAGCTTTGCAGTTCTTTGCATTGTATTAATCTGGATTTTTCATAATTTGCATTAGCAAAGTCATTTTATGGCTCCTTGGCTCTTGTCTTATTTGTAAGTATAAAAGTTTATTCTAAGAAAACATTTTGCTGTGTGATGTGAGGGAGGAGAGAAGTGTTTTCAGTGTGTTGTGGGTGATGTCTTTAGTAAAGCACAAAGACTCTTACTATCTCATTTTTCTCGCTGTTCTCTTGAGATCTTTTTTTTTTTTTTTTTTTTTTTTTTGAGACAAAGTCTCACTGTGTTGCCCGGGCTAGAGTGCCGTGGCATCAGCGTAGCTCACAGCAACCTCAAACTCCTGGGCTCAAACAAACCTCCTGCCTCAGCCTCCCAAGTAGCTGGCACTACAGGCATGCGCCATCATGCCCGGCTGATTTTTTCTATGTATTTTTAGTTGTCCAATTAATTTCTTTCTAATTTTAGTAGAGACGGGGTCTCGCTCTTGCTCAGGCTGGTTTCGAACTCCTGAGCTCAAAGGATCCGCCCGCCTCAGCCTCCCAGAGAGCTAGGATTACAGGCGTGAGCCACCGCGCCCGGCCTTCTTGAGGTCATTATAGGATGGGAATGCTTTTTTTTTTTTATATTCCCTTATTACAAAGAGGTGCTGTGCAAAATAACCTCTCATACCAATTTATCTGCTTTACTTTCCTCTCTATGATGTAAAAATACAGTCAAAGCTTTTTTTAAATCCAGTTTGGTGGGATAGTGAAAATGAAGTAAAATGCTTGTTAATTAAGAGTTAATTTCCATGACCTGAATGGTCTCTCGCGCAGGGTGGTCTCTCTGTCATCTTTCCACCCTGAAAACAACCTATTGTTAATTTTGTTGTATTATGATTAGGTTATTTGGTGTAGTGGAAAAGTGGAGTCAAGATTTACATTGGAGTGTATGTAAAAATTCTGGTCAGTAAAGTGCCAGATAACACATGGCTTTTTTGTGTGTAGATCACTATGAAGTTGGTCGACAAATCTCTTACAATCCAGTAATCTGTAATGATACTTCATTCTGCTGTCTACTTAATCTTCATGATGGCAATTTTAGGTTTTAATAAAGAGGCATTTATTTTAATTTTGGTTTTTAAATTTTTTTCTCAAGTACTCATATCCTCTCCGGTAGGATAGCCAATAAATACCAATTTGGTTATTGATAGTAATTTATACCTGGTAATTGTCTTTTTCTAACCATTATTTTTGTGCTGTCACTGAAGTGCCTGCCCCATACTGTGGATAGTCTCTTTCACAAGTACTGGAAAAGGAGCCCACCGTCATCTTGAGTACAATATTAATGTCTGAGGGAGAAAATAATGGGAGTTATTTTTTTTTTTCACACAAACCATTGCAAGTTTGTTTTTCTTTTGAGTCCTTCTACCAAATGCTCAGTTAGTTCTTCCGTGTCTTATCACTTAATTTATTTACATTTAAGGATTGCTTTTTCCCATGGAGAATTGTCATTCCTCACAGTTCAGGTGTATTCTAGTAGATCAGTAACATTATACTAACAATGTAATTATAATTTACTATGTAGCAAAAAAAAAAAGGTTCAAGAAGAAAAAATTTGGTGTCTATTTACCTTTGTATAGTTAATCGCTTAATTCATTCTGCTTTTAACAAACATTTGTAGTTGAATAAAATGCTTATGCACATATTGTAATGTAGCAAGATGCTGCTATCCCTGATACAATATTTAAAATTATTTTGTGAAGATTTGTGGTTTAAACAGTATATAGGATAAAAAAAATTACTGGGGCATATTACTTAGTGAACATAGCCCATTGTGTCAGGGGATCTGTATAGAGTAGATGTTTTGCCAGGGTTTCAGGTTCTTATGTTATCTGATTCTCTGCTAAGTGACCTCATTTCTTCCTGTTCTTATTCACATGGACCTTACTATTTTTTGAACACATTAAACGTATTCTTGTCTCAGGGCTTTGCATTTGTTGTTCCTCTATCTGAAATACTCTTTTATATATTTCTATCACTTCCTCCCTTGGTTTAGGTTTCTGCTGAAATAGTACCTTTTTAGAGAAATCTTACCTGTTCCTGCTGTTCCCCCTCCATCACTTTCTATTCCCTTACCCTTTAATTTTGTTCATACTTCCTGACTAGTTTTTTGTTTGTCTGTTCCTTTAACTGTAATGTTAGCTCCACAAGGACAGGAACTTTATTGTATTCAGTGCGATATCTTTAGTGATTGGAGCATAGCAGGTGTTCAAGGCAAGGAAGGAATGTTATGGAGTATGTGGTTTTTCCTAAATTTAGTATTGGGACTTACAGGGGAAAAAGTTGGAGATGAAAACCATCTCTGGAAAATACTTGCACTTAGCCAGAATAGGAAACTGTTGGCAAGATATTTCACTCTAACCTATCTTGACTGTTCTGGTTACTCCCTTGTGATTTTTCTAACAGGTATCAGGAATCAGGGGATTTGTTGGAATCCTAATTTAGAGGTCTTCAAATGTTTTATTTCTGGGACTCTTTATCATTTCACTCAAAAGTGATTTCTTACTGGCCTTCTGGTTTCATATCCTGTAGCTTCTCTGCACTATTATATACATATATTTTCCAAAATGTACTATGTGGTATTTACTCAGCCCCTCTTATGCACCCTTGATAATTTTCTAGAATATCCTTAATGTACTGTAATTCTTAATTATCTTCAGGACTCTGCCTGAGCTTTGGGCAGAGCTTCTAGAATCCCATCTAGATGCTACTTTGAGAAATACATGCCTTATTGGTTATGTTTAAATTTTTTTTCCTCTTATAGACAGTTCAAGAAGAAGAGAGAGAGATTTACAGACAGCTGCTACAGATGGTCACAGGGAAACAGTTTTCTGTAGCCAAACCTACCACACATTTTCCTTTACACCTGTAAGTCACAGACACATATTTCAGATGCATTTAATTCTACAATTTGTTATTTGATATTGAAACTATATTCTTCTCTTGCTAGGTCTCGATGTCTTAGTTCCAGTAAGAATACTTTGAATGACTCATTGTTTAAAAATGGAAATTCTTGTGCATCTCAAATCATTGGCTCTGATACTTCATCATCTGGATCTGCCAGCATTTTAACTACCCAGGAACAGCTGTCCCACAGTGTATACTCCCTATCATCTTACGCCCCAGATGTTGTTGCATTTGGATCCAAAGATTCTGATCTTCTCCATCAACACCACCATCACCACTCTCTTCCACATCAGCCAGATAACTTATCAGCTTCAAATACACAATCCGAAGGTAAAAATGGTATCATATAACTATATTTTTAATCCTAATAGCCAGTCATATTTTGGTTCCATTACAGGTAACATTATAATATACATATAAATTAACATATTTGAGTTGAACATCCAAATCCAAAATCCAAAATGTCCCAAAATCTGAAACTTTTTGAGTGCCAACATGATGTTCTGTGGAAATGCTCATTGGAGCATTTTGAATTTTGAATTTTCAGATTTGGGATGCTCGGCTGCTATAATGCAAATATTCCAAAATCTGAAAAAATTTAAAATTTTAAACACTTCTGGTCCCAACCACTTCAGATGAGGCATACCCAATTGTAAGATACTTTAAATACATGTAATCAGTTAACCATGCCATGAGTAAACTAAACCTACAAATAAGATACTTTTTTCATCTATCAAGATGCAAATGTTTGATACAATATTTTATTTAAATGATTAACTTCCTGAATAGAGTCTGTTATTCAACCTAATTGCTTCATCTCTTTCTCGTTTCTATTATTTTACGGTGATAATTAAGAATTCTGAAGTTCTAGGTGTTTTGAAATATCAAATAAATATTAAAGTATATATACTTAATTACCATGTAATAGTTACTAAACCTATATAGTAGGTTTATGCACTTTAGAATGGTTGCCAGCAAGTTTTGAAAACAAAAGGAGTTTTCCACCTAACTTTCAGCTAAAATATTCAGTCTCTTAGCATTCCAGTTAATTAAGATTTTGCTATGATAGATTTCTTTGTTTCTTAGTTTATCCCTTCTTTAGGTATATATTATATATGTATTTATGGTAAGTACTTAGGTATGTAACTTAAAACAAGTTTTAGGTTAAGTGGTTAGACATTAGGAAACATTTGATAGGTGGAGTATCAGTCTCTAAGCTCTCCCCTCCTTCCTCAAGTCATTTGATTTTTTTTTTTTTAATCTACTCATCACTTTCTGAAAATTCTCACTTGGGATTAAAAGTTTTGGTAGTATCATTATATAGCTACATATATCCATGAACACATATTAATGTATTACATTTTTTTAGGTGATTTACTGAGAACTGTCATTTTTTTAAAAAGTAAAAAGAGCGCTTTAACCGCAGGAAAATATATTGTGTGGCAGATATTAGATACAACTAAACAAGCAAATATGCTACATTGCACTATTTAATTACTTATGCCATTTAATAAATACTCTAATCATAGCACTTCAGAAGAACATGATTCCTGCCTTTCAGGAGTATTCAACAGAGAAAATAAATGATAGAATGAAAAAATTTGTACTTTTTAGACTTCTACAGTCTTCTTTCTTTCCCTGTCCCCCTCCTCTCCACCTTAACCATTCCCTTGTCCCTCTTCCCCTTCCTACACTACTTTTTCCCCTGCCCCTTCCCTTTCCTTCTCTCAATTAATTCAGTCTCACTATAGATTGTGAACTACCATAGTCTCCCCCTTATCCATGGTGGATGTGTTTCGAGACCCCCAGTGAGTGCCTGAAACCATGGATAGTACACTATATACACTATACACACTATGCTTTTTCCTACACATGCATACCTATGATAAAGTTTAATTTATAAATTAGGCACAGTAAGAGATTAACAACAATAATAACTAATAATAAAATGGAACAAATATAACAATATACTATAATAAAAGTTTTTTTCCCTTTTTCTTATTCTCCTTTGCACTTAAAGGAAGTATGTTTTACGGTTTCTCTTTGGCATATCTCAGTTGCCAGCATCTACTTTTGCGCTGCAAGGGTATTATTAAGTAAAATAAGGGTTACTTGAACACAAGTATTCCTGTACTGAGACAGTTGATCTGGTAACCGAGATGGCTACTAAGTGACTAATGGGCAGGTGTTACATACAGTATGGATATGCTGTACAGAGGGATGATTCACGCCTAGGATAAAGCTGGACAGTGTGAGATTTTATCATACTACTCAGAATGGTGCACAGTTTAAAACTAATTCTTTCTTTCTGAAATTTTCCATGTAATATTTTTGGACCACAGTTGACCGCGAGTAACTGAAACCGCAGAAAACAAAATCCTGCAGATAAAGGGGGACTACTGTAAAGGCTTTTAAGAAATCATGGCATGCCTTGCTCCCCTGAAACAGAAAGAAGCAGCACAGAAGTAGATGCTAAAGGGCAAATATGCTTGTGTTTCTGAGCAATTTTGTGAAGCAAGCTATTCCCTGAGACCTATTTCTGGACTTGGTGAAAATGGACCTGCCTCTCTTTCTCTTCCATCTTACCTTTGTCCTTATGCTGTCTTATTTTTGTAGAAATAGAATATAACAAAGTATAGAAATATAAGTTAAGACATGTAGAAAGTATAACCGCGTGGCATTTTATTAATAATGAAATGCTCTGTGTTTCTTCATTTAGGATCAGATTCTGTGATTTTACTGAAAGTCAAAGAGTCCCAGACTCCAACTCCCAGGTAAACTTTGGAGAAAGATCATTCTTAACATATTATTTTCCCTTTCTTTAATCACAATTTTTGTACTAAAAGTTACATATTATAAAAGTAAAACTGCCTCAATTCAAACATCTCTTGTGTATTATTTGAATTATTACAATGACTTTCTAGTTGTTCTTTCCTTCAGCCTCCATTTTGTTCTTCGTTCCATCTTCCACCATACCATGTCCTCTAATCCATTCTTCTGCTTTGTTCTTTAGTCTCTCTTCCATGCTGCAATCAGAGTGATCTTTCTAAAATTCATATCTGATCATTCTTTAAAGGAGTTTTATGATCATTTATTAAACTCCTTCAAGGGTGGCTTATCAGACATAGAATTAAGCTCAGGCTCCTTAGTATGGTATACAAAGCACTTCCTTCATAAGCCTCACTTTCTATTGTATATTCTTTCTCCTTCAGCAATCATTTATTGAGAGGCTGCTGTGTGCCAGATACTAAGTATATACATCAGGGAAAACAGTAGTCATCAGGATGAAATCCCTGTTCTCAAGGAGCTTGCATTCTAGTTGAGGGGAAAGGTGGAGGGCAGACAGTGAACAATAAGCAAATAAACATATGCCTGGTGGTGATAAGGACTGTGAAGAAAACTGAAGTAGGATAATATATAGACTAGGGTTGGAGGCACACTATTTACCTAGGGTGGTCAGTGCAAGTCTCTGATAAAGTGACATTTGAGTATAGACATGATGGAGGTGAGAGAGGGAGCCATATGGAAATATGGAATTCTTCTGTGTGTTTTTGTATGCTGGACTATTTTCAGTTTGTAAATGTGATATGCATTTTCTTGCCTTCAAATTCGTTGTTCCTTCTGCCTAGAATGTCCTCCCTACCTTAACTTGTCTGTCATTAGTCTCTTTCTTATCTTTTAAGTCTCAATTGAAATATGATCTCCTGGTCTTAAACTCCTGGCCTCCAGCGATCCTCCCACCTTGGCCTCCCAGAGTGCTAGGACTACAGGTGTGAGCCACCATGCTCAGTCAAATCTGATCTTCTATGTGAAACTTCTCTGTGAGGCATCAAATACTTCTTCCTCCGGAATCCAATAGGTTACTAAAGGTTACTATGATTGCTGTGTCTTTGCCTTTTATGGCCTTGGTAATTCAATTGCTAGGATGATGATAATACCAGTTTCCTTTGAGAAGATTAGGGATAATGAAATGTGCTTTCTCATCTCAGTTCTCCTACTTCTTTGCAGCTCTCCTATATGTTCCAAGCTTTAGGTATTTCTTAAATCTCCCTATTTGTTAAGTCTGTAAGGGAGATGTCATAGTTTGGATTCTTTATTTCTTATGTTTTCTTGGAGTCAGACCTGGCTTCTGATCTTGGCTTTTCCAGGAATCATGTAACTTGAGACCAGTTACTCTTCTGAATCTCAAGTTTCTTTATCAATAAAATGCCAGTATTAATATGTTACTTTTGAATTGTGAAGATTAACTTGCAGATAAATCACTTATTTTTATAAGTATTTCACCTGAAGCACTCAAAGTAGGTGGTATTCTTTTTTGGGAAGAAGCTGATCTCAGGTTAAGAGGCATTTCATTCTCTTAATGGTTCTTTACTAAGTCTGCCTTTCCTTTACAGAGGATTTCTCCTAAGTTATGACTAAGAATGAGACGGAAGGAGAAATGGTGTGTTGGGTTAGACTGAGTGGTGCTGTTTGTTGATGTTGGCACCTACTCTGCCAAGGCTTGATTGATTGGCTCTCTATTCTTAATTTTCTACCACTTCCTCTCGGTTAAGTTCCGGTAATGAAAATCTGCCCTGATTTCCCAGAATATGCCATGCTGTTTCATATCTCTGTACCTTCATATATTCTGATCCCTCTGTCTAGAATTCCCTTTCTCTCCTTGTCCACTTGGTAAACTCTTTGTTTTGCTTTTCAAAATTTAATGAGGTATTTTTTTCTCAGACAGTTTCTCTGACTTCTCCAGATAATATTAGTTTTTCCCTGCATACCTCTACCTTGTTTGTTACCTTTGCACTTACCTTACCTTTGCTACCTTTGCACTTAGTACCCAGTGCTGATCAGAGTGCCTAGCATGCGAAGAGTGCTTAGTAAATGAATCTGTGCTAAATAAATGAATTTTCTACAGAAATTCTCTTTTGAGTAGCCCAAGTACTCATTTTTTTTCCCTTTTTGTTTAATGCTTTGGTCTATTGAAAGGCATTTTAACACTAGTAGAAAGAATATAGTCTTTGGAATTAGACAGATTAGATTTCTAATCCTGGCTCTTCCAAGAGAAATTATCCTTCTGAAACTCATTTTCCTTTTCTGTACAGTATGAGTAGTAATTCCTTGTTAGATACTATATTGAGGTTTAAATAATATGGGGATTATCATGAGGCTTAACTAATGTAAAACACTGAGTAGAATTTTACATGTAGAGCACTACTAAGTAGGTACTCAAAAAATAGTTGTAGTTATTGTTACTGTATGCCTCAATTATATGAGAAATAATACATAATCTCTTTGGAAAAGCAAATTTCCCCTGTTTTGCTTTCCTGAGCCAGTGGATACATTAGTCCATTGAATATAAGTGTTTATCACTACATTATGTGTTTATTCAACAAATACTGAGTGCCTACTATGTGCCAGGCACTATTCTAGTTACAGAGGATAGAGTAGTATACAAAAAACCCCAAATATTCCTATCCTCATTAAGTTTATATTTTAATAAGGGAAACAGATTTGAATAGCATTGATCCATTACTATGAAATTCTGGGTGATTCTTGTCACATCTTTATATTGTATAATAAGTATGTTCTCATGTCTGTTTGTTTTTAGTATCACAAACTAAATAGCCCTTCACAATGCTATCACTATTTTTGTGGTTTTCTGTCTTGATTGTAATGTCCATTGTTCACTGTACCAAGGAGATGGGCCCTCATTAACCTCAATGGCAATGGGGAGGCAATAAGAATAGCATTTTCATTGCTAAATCCCAAACTAAGGATGATTGGGAATACTAATCTCAAAAGTTAGGATAGGAGCAAGGGATACCTTTCTGGGCCTTTGTTCATGCCCTCACTAGGACAGGTTGTAGAGATTTAAGAACTGAAAAGGACTCTACTCACAATATTTTACAAATCCAGAAGCCAGGGCTCATAGAAGTGAAGTGACTTGCTCAAAGTCGTAAAGCTAACCACGGACACCTCCAGGACATTCAGGTCTCTTAACTCCCAATTGGATGCTCTGTGTACCTGTTCTGTATATTTAAAAGTCTTCTTTGGAAAGTGTTCATTCTTATTCCATTTGTTTCTGTGCTGGATCCCTTAGTTGGGGATTTACAAGGACATGAGGAAGTTTGAGAAAAATGAGAAGCCCTAGAACAATTAACTACCTGTGACTCTGCTAAGCATTATTCTCTTGGGTTGTGTCAGCAAGAGCCACGTAGACTAGAATTGGCCTCTCATCTTTGGAGTAGAGTTGTATTGCTGATTCTTTGCTTTGGCTTATTGGCTTGTTAGCTATTTGATGTGTATTATTTTGTGGGTGGGAATTTTTAGTAAATCTGTCAGTCTGAACCATTTGGGAGGAGTAATGTTCCAGCTTAATATACTATCTTGAGAAGTGATGTATTCTTTCACATAATGTTGGTTTCATGCAAGTAAGGAGCTATATTAAACTTAGTTTCTCTTCTGAACTTTGGGTTATGTTTTAAAGTAATAGGTATGCAAATGACTCATTTGTGTTCCTTTAATTTCCAGTTACAATTATTTTATGTCATTTAGGTATCTTTTACTTATTCCATACTTATAGAACACTCTTATAAACTATTTAAATGATTGCTTTTGTTTGTGAAAATACTTGAATTTTCTTATAAGACTTCTTGCTCATTTGTCATATTTTTCTTTTCCTATGTATAGTCCTACTTTCTTCCAGGCAGAGCTGTGGATCAAAGAATTGTAAGTTATTTATTTTTGGTACCATTTTTCTTTCTCAATTACTTTATTTTCAATTAGAAGAAATCAAACAATTAGCTGATCACCCTGCTTATTTTTAGTCAATAAGAATTACCTATGTATACTCTTTTAAGTTATTGGGCTTTTAAAATTTTGTTGGAGTTGGAACATTTCTGTACTCATATTTATTAAATCTATAACAATTGTTGAAGCTAAATTGAATTGGAAAAATATTTCAAGGTTAGCTATTATATAGAAAGGAAAGTAAATGCCCTTATTTTGACATTGGTAAAACTAATTTGTGGAATAATTCATATTTCTGGAGTTTGCAAAATCACTGAAAGCATTTAGTCTCCAGTTTCAGGAACTCACTTTAAGTTATCCAAATGCCCTGGTCTTGATAATTTTTTTAAAAAAATAAACCATCAAAAATACAATAATTGAATTAAACCTCAATTATATCTTGTACTATTTACTCCTTTGGGGTTCAATCCCATTTTTGGATTTCCACAATAATCTTAGAAACATGTTACGAGAACTACATATTTACAAAAATTCATTACAGTTATCTGTTCACATTTAGCAACACACTAATATTTTTAATCATTTCAGTAAAAATGGTAGAATAATTTCAGTCATACTATATGATTTCACTCTATGTCTTAAAATGTAAGTGTGGTGATAAGTTAGTGTAAGGATTTTAGACTGTCTTTGTGAGGTTTCTGTATTTAATACTCACTGTTCATCAATAATGTGTTTGATGCTAAGAGGGTGGTCCACAGTTGTGTCACTTTCCTTTTCGTTTCCTAGAACTAGTGTTTATGATTCTCGAGCACGGGAAAGATTGCGCCAGATTGAAGAGCAGAAAGCACTGGCATTACAGCTTCAAAACCAGGTAAAAAAAAAAAAATGGGATAATATTATAAATAAATAGCACATCTGAGTTGAAATTATTTTGGAAGATTATCCAGATTTGGATAATTGCTGTTGTAATTGCAAGATTGTATTGTAGAATAGCATTTTATGATAAGTGGTATGTGCTCTTGGTCTATCCAGTCAGTACTACTCAGTGTACAGAAGACAAATACAGATGGTCCCTGATGTTATAATAGTTCGACTTACAGTTTTCTACTTTACGATGGTGTGAAAGCTATAGGCATTTCAGTATACTCCTTGACTTACAATGGGTTCATCAGGATGTAGCCCTATTATAAGTTGAGGAGCATCTGTAATATTTTTGTGATTTTTTTTTTTTAATCACAGCTATTTATTCCTCTTATTCTACTTATTCTGAAGTTCTGTCTTTCAGAGATTACAAGAACAGGAACATAAAGTACATGATTCACTTATTCTGAAGTTCTGTCTTTCAGAGATTGCAGGAACAGGAACATTCAGTATGTGATTCAGTAGAACTGCATCTTCGTGTACCTCTTGAAAAGGAGATCCCTGTTACGATTGCCCAAGAAACAGAAAAAAAAGGTCATAAATTAACTGATAGTGAAGATGAATTTCCTGAAATTACAGAGGTAAATTACATACTGTAAATTTCTGCACTAGTAAGGATTATATTTAGAAAGAATGCTTTGGACAAATTTCGAACATAAAAGCAATAGGACACTTGGTATTCAAGTTTTATTGCATACTTCTGCTTTCGTTTGCATTGCATACCAATCTTGGCTTTATTTTTTTAAGTATTATTGAAAATTGTTAAAAGAATGTTGAGTGACTTATAGCAACTCGAGTGAAAACATTTACTACATTTTTATTTAATGCACATGTACAGTAATTTGACATCAAATTGTAAGCTGAGATTTACTGTTTTTTAATTAACAAAACCCATTATAGAAAATTTTTAAAATACATAGAAATTTATGTACATTTTTAAATAATCTATTCCTTTATTCATACTTCTCTTTGAAAAACTACCACATAGTTTGCTGGTGAGCATAACACATTTATTATAGTTGTACTAGATTTCATATTTTACATCTAAAAAATTTTTTTCTGGGAAAATAGTATCTAAAAGATACCACATTTACTCCCTTACTACCTTGTATGAAAAATTCTGTTTGTCAGGAAATCATTTGGATCAGTGATATAAAATATAGTTAGGTCTTCTCATGGGCTTAGGAAATTTGTTAGCCCAAGGTTATTCTAGACTTTAGAAATTAATATGAAACAAGGGTCTAACTAAATGTTGTGCAGAAAAAGAGAAGGGAGGAGGACTAGATGAAATGGAAAGAAGTAATCAGGGAGATTACACGGAAGGAAGAGAAACCAAAATGTTAGATAGAAGTAAATTGATTAATAGTAACTTGATAAATAGTTGATTAGTGATAAATATAGTCTAGGGATTATATGGGGCTTGGTGAGAAATCTGGTTTGTCTGAGTCACGTATCTTTGATTTCTGACACCTTTTGGTTCCCTAGGAAATGGAGAAAGAAATAAAGAATGTATTTCGTAATGGGAACCAAGATGAAGTTCTCAGTGAAGCATTCCGTTTGACCATTACACGCAAAGATATTCAAACTCTAAACCATCTGAATTGGCTCAATGATGAGGTAATCTTGCACCTATTTTTATATACAAATAGTAAGTGAACATTAAATGGAAATTAAATCAAGGCATTATCTCACTATTTCTCAAAGTGTGGTCCCTGGATGACCTGCATTAGAATCACCTTTCACAGACAGGCCTCTGCATTCTCCTGACTAAGTATGAGGGAGTGTGGTGAAGATATGCATTTTTAACAAGCATTTCAGGTGGTTTTTATGTATTTTAAAATAAAGTCTGAGAACTGCTGAATTTACCTTTTTTTGTATCAAAGAGTTGAACACTGAAGAAAAGGACATTCACTCACTGGTATTCTCACATCCTACACTGCAGTTCACATCTTCTGAGCGAGTATTTAATGGCTGACCATGTTGCATCATGAAGGAATACTTTGAGATTTCTATATGGGAATCCAGTTCTGCTTCCCTTTCTACTTCTACTTGTTTTAGGTCACTTATATTGTGAATGATAAGCTTTCTAAAATAGCCTCCAATTATATATGATATTTTTTAAACTGACATTGAAAAGTTATATTATTATTAAATATTTGATATATTGGGCAAAAATAAAGTTATGGCCTTCACCTCCCAATTACAATTATTTTACATATGTTCATTACACTACAGTCTTTAAACTGATCTGTTCCTAAGCTTGTAGGTGCCTATTTCATCTCAGAAGGATATTTTCACAGCAAAAGGAGAGAACTGGTGTGGGTGACTTTTCCTAAGTACCTCCTTTGCTTGGCCCACTAGAAGCATCCCTGCCTCATCCTCAGGGTGCACTCAAGCTTCACAGCTATAGAGGATTTTTAGATTCTCAGTATAGTAAGGACTAAATATTCTAGATACCCATATCCTATTTTGTATGCTTAGGACTTTCCAAATAATATTGGCTAACATCTATTGAGCATTTACCTCATGTTAGGCACTATTCTAAGTGTCTTGTGTGTTCTTCTCATATAATAGTCATCATGTCCTTGGAGGTACACTATAGCTTTATCATCTCTATTTTACAGATAAAGAAACAAGACATAGAAAGATTAAGAAACTTGCAAGTTGTGTAGATAATAAGTGGTAGAGCCGAGATTCAGATCCAAGCATTGGGTCTTAACTACTATATCATCCTGCCTCAGAATCTTAAACTGGATTCTGTCTTAGGATCAGGCGTATAGAACTTAGGAGCCATATGTCATACCCAGGATGTTGATTTTCCTTTGGGTCAGCTGGACTAGCATTATTCTTTTTGCTACTGGTCAGTTTACAAGATAAAAGTTGCATCCCTGAATAATATCTGTGACCCAGAACAGTAAGGAAGGTATGGGTTTATACTGTCTTTCTTTCGGGGAAACTCCGTTTGCCACTTTGGGCTCAGATACTAGAACACTGGATCAAATAATAGAAAAAAAAAGAGCTCACCAAATCAAAGGGGGAGATAAAAATCAAGGATAGTCAAAAGTATCCACTGATAAGTTATTTTAGATATGTGGTCTTTTGCCATTTTTTGCCTGCCACTGCTGGAGGGGAGGATTCAGTTATTCTAGCCTGTTGTAAATTATGCGAAACCTTCTAGGGGGCAGCAGTGAGTAGGATATGAACTGAGTTCTTGCTGTTTACTGTGGTAGTTACCTCAGTGAGATCCCTTACAGAGACAGCATTCATCAGGACATATTTTCCATTCCCTGGGCCCATCAGAGGCTGGATTTTTAGCAAGCAAAGTTAATGGAAATTATATTATTTAGAGGAGATGAGGGGAAGGAATGATTCCTTGTCTACTTTATCCCTACCACACCTACTCATAACTTTTGTAGGGAGTGCTTTTCTTCTGAGTTCAGATAATGTTAACCTTGAAAGTAGGTGCCAATTCACATGTCCATAATGATTAGAACTATTTTTAAAAGCACTGGTTTCAAAATATCATACTTCTTGGGCTTTCAAAGTTATTGCCCTTGAAAAGCTAACATTCTGATGGAGTATTACTAGATATCCTGAAGTATTGATACTCACATAAGAATACTTAATTGTTTCTCAGTCATAAACTATCAGTCTTCTTTTGGAAGTAATTTACCCTCTCTTCAGTCCTGTTCTCCTTCCCTCAAATATTTTCATTAATAACCCTATCTCTTCTTTTTGTATTTCTTGTCAGTTTCATAGGATGTATTAATACTTTCTTCAAAATAAAGTGACTGATACATTATTCTTACCATTTTATAAACAAGGAATATAAGAGCTAGGAAGTAAAAGGAATCAGATTCAGTTTATAAGGAAAATAAAATCCAGAAATCCTGTATTTGGGATATGAACAGAAAGCCATTGGGCTATCTTTCCCTGTCTCTTTCCTAAAAGAAGACTAGAGTGCCTGTTCATGCAATAAGCTTTCAAAAGTTTTTTCATGAATGGATTTATATATAGGTAAATTTGGTTAAATTCTGTATAGCTTCAAAGGACTAATGATTGACGGATTCACATTTTACCTCAATATAAAAAAAATGAAACCTCTCAAAAATGTAATATGGGAACTGGCTACCTGTAAAGAATATGAAAGGAGGCTGGAAGACTGATAAAATCCCAGACATTGTGGATGAGGATTTCTATACTGGATGAGATTGGTTATCAATAGAAATAGGGGAGGAGGATAGCATTAAAGAGGGGAGGACTTAGTTGCAAAAGTAGGCTGAAAGTCACAATTAAGAAACAGAAGGAAATATTTTCAAATCAGTGTCAATACTAGAAATTATTTATTAATTCCTGAGGATTGAATTGGATGACTTCTGGAATCCCTTCCAACTTTAAGATTCTAGCTTAATGATCCTGAGAAGAGGACTGCCTTGGGCTTTGTGTTTCTCTTTATAGCTAAATGGTTCTGCTTCTTTAAGGAACTAAGGATTGTTTTATAGAGGTACATGGAAATGATTTAGATATACAAGCTGTGTACCTTTTGCTGACTTTTGCTTCTCGTCATGATAGAGTAAAAGGAAAAAGATTTACCATTTCAACTTAACTAGAAAACTAGACAAAACATATGAAACAATAATTTTTAAACACTGGATAACAGGTAGTACCAGGACAGTGATTCCTTGGAGAAAGAAAATAAAAGCTCTGATTTCTCCACTTATTGGGGTGGTGTATGTGTGTTATGGGGAGGGGCTGGCAGAGCCTGTGTAGAGGGGCTCCCCTCAAGTCTTTGGCTGAGTACTAATCTGTGCATGTATGAGAAGAAGCTACCAGAGGCTAGGGAAAGAAGCACCAGAAAGAGGGCATCAGCACAATCTTAGAGCCAACACAGGTGCCAGCAGTTTATGTTCCAGCCAGTTAGAGTGGAAAAGCCTAAGTCATAAGGCATGGAGTAAAATCATCGGAATGGTATTGCCTCAGGAGTGGAACCAAAATGACTCTAGCATAAAGGCTGCTTTGGATCCACTGTAACAGAACTTAAAAACAAATCTCAAAACTGGAAACTGATCCAAGTAAGTTAATTATATCACAGAAAAAAGCCCAGCAATATTTAAAGTAGTACAACAAACCTCAGCAATAACAAAACCCAACAACATAAAATTTACAATGTCCAACATCCAGTCAGAAATTACCAGGCATACAAAGAGGAAGGAAAATGCAACTTATGATGAGGTAGAAAACTATTCACTAAAAACATCCAGGAATGACTAAAATGACAAAATTAGCAGACAAAGATATTAAAACAAGTATTTATAAATATATTTCATATATTCAGGAAGGTAGAGGAAAATGGACATTATGGGGAGAGAAATGGAAGATAATTTTTAAAAGACCCAAATTAAACTTCTAGAGATGAAAAATGTATCTGAAATAAAAAATACATAAGGTGATATTAATAGTAGATTAGAAACTTCAGGAGAAAAAAATTGTGAACTTAAAGGTATAGCAATAGAAGCTGTCTAAAATGAGATCCAGAAAAGAGGCCAAGAAAGATGTCAAGACCATCGGTGAGCTATGGGACAATATCAAGCAGTCTAAGCATGTAATTAGAATCCCAGAGGAAAGGTGGGGGCATAGGTGGTATCAGAAAAAGTGTTTGAAGAAATAATGGTAGATGATTTTTCCAAACTTGAAAACTAAACTGACAAATTCAAGAAATTCACCCTACCCCAAGTAGAAGAAACACCATCCTAAAATATATAATAATCAAATAGATGAAAACAGATGGAAATTTCAGTCTATTCAAAGGAATGAAGAGCAGTAGAAATGCTCTCATTTTTAAATATCTCTAAAAGACAGTTGATTAAAGTAGAACTAAAACAACATACTATGAGATTTACAACATGTAGAAATAAAATATATGACAATCATGGCACAAAGAAGGGGACAAAAATGGAAGTACATTCTATTATAAGACTCTTACACTGTGCATGAAGTGGTATAATGTTATATGAAGATAGACTTTGATAAGTTAAAGACACAATGTAAATCCTAGAGCAACCACTAAAAAACAAAAACAAAAAAAGGGTATATTTAATAAGCCAATAGGATAAAATGGAATTTTAAAAATCCAAAGAGGCAGGAAAAGAAGAAAAAGATACAAAGAACAGATGGGACAAATCAAAAAAAAAGAGAAAGATGATAGATTTAAACCCAACCATATCAATAATAAATGTAAATGATTTAGACCAACACTGTCCAATAGAAATATAATGTGAGTCACGTATTTTAAATTTTCTAGTAGTCACATTAAAAAAGTAAAAAGAAATAGGTGAAATTAATTTTAATAATATTTTTATATAATTCAGTATATCTAAAATATGTCATTTCAGCATGTAATCAATATTAAAATTTTATTAATGAGATACTTTACTTTCTCTTTGAAATGCGGCATACAGTTTATACTTACAGCACATCTCAATTTGTATTAGTCATATTTCAAGTGCTCGATAGTCACATTTGGCTAGTGGCTACCATAGTAGACAGTATAGGTTAAACATCCAATTAAAAGGCAGAGATCGTCAGATTGGATAAAAAGATGTGTATAAGAAACCATT